GCCCTAGCTGTGCCGCTGATACTCAAACACAAAAAAGAACGGGGTTAGCAACAGAGCTGAGTGCAAATTTTGAAAAAGTGAATTATTCGCAACAGACAGAGGGGGAAAGTGCCAAGACCACAAACGATCAAAACACGTACACTTCGCAGTGACAAAAAAATAAAAAAAGGTGTGAAAAAACTCTAAGCAAATCATTTCAGTAACATTGCAGCCTATCAGTTATTTGACATTTATACATCATGAGAAGCAGCCCTTTTTAATCAAAAAGATCAAGACTCCCGGGGGGGATGCAGCCTACCATTTTCCCCCCAGATCAGAGATACTAGGTGGAGCAGCCCACCATATCCCACAGATCAGAGAAACCAGGGTGAGCCCATCCCTACCCACAGACAGTGATACTCAGGGTGGAGCGCCCATCCATATCCCACAGATCATGATATCTCGGTGGATGCAGCCTACCCCCAAACCCACAAACAGAATATCTCAGGGGGGAGCAGCCTATCCATATCCCCCAAAACAAGATACTCAGGGGTGGAGCAGCCTATCCATATCCCACAATCAGAGAATCTCAGGGTGGATGCAGCCCATCCCCAAAACCCAGAGATCACGAACCTCAGGGTTGATGAAAAACCACATCCTAGAGAATGACACCTCAGGGGTGCTGCGCCTATCCATACCTAGAGATCAGGGCACCTCAGGGGTGCTGCGCTTAACCTATCCTAGGATCAGCGACAAACCTCGGGATGAGCAATATCCATACCCCCGAGATCGGGACCCAGGATGATAGCCTATCCAATCCCAAATCAGAGACTCTCAGGGGATCAGCCTTTACCATATCCACAGATCAGAGACATCCAGGGTGGGGTGCGCCTTCCCTACCCAGAGATCAGTGAACCTCAGGGTTTATGCAACATATCCACATCCTAGAACAGTGACACCTCAGGGATGCTGCAGTATCCATATCCTAGAGATCAGGAACCCAGGGATGTGCACCTATCCATAATCTCCAGAGATCCATGACACCTCAGGGAAAGCTGCAGCTATCTAATATCCTCGAGAGATCAGAAACACCTCAAGGATGCTTCAGCCTATCCATATCCCGGAGATCATGACACTCAGGGATGCTGCAACATATCCACATCCTAGAAATCAGAGAACATCTTTCAGGGTGGATGCAACATATCCATAATCCCAGAGATCAGTGACACCTCAGGGATGCTGCAAGCCTATCCATATCCCGGAGATCAGTGACACCTCAGGGATTGCTGCAGACTATCCATTTAATCCAGATGATCAGTGGACACACTCAGGGATGAATGCAAACATATCCATATCCAAGAGATCAGAGACATCTCAGGTGTGGACGCAGCCTAACCATGTCCCAGAGATCCCAGCGACACCTCAGGGATGACGCAACATATCCATATCCCAGAGATCAGAGACATCTCAGGGTGGATGCAGCCTTATCCATATCCCAGAGATCAGTGACACCTCAGGATGATGCAACATATCCACAATCATAGACAAATCAAGAGACATCTCAGGGTGGATGCTGGCCTATCAGATGGTCCCAGAGTTCAGCGACACCTCAGGGATGACGCAACATATCCAATATCCTAGAGATCAGGTGACACCTCAGGGTTGATTGCAACATATCCTTATCCCAGAGATCAGTGACACAGCTCAGGGATGCTGCCAGCCTATCCATATCCCAGAAATCAGTGACACCTGCGAAGGGATGACGACAACATATCCATATCCTAGAGATCAGTGACACCTCAGGGAATGACACAACATATCCATAATCCTAGAGGATCTAGTGACACTTCAGGATGCTGCAGCCTATCCATATCCTAGAGATCAGCGACACCTCAGGATGCTGCAGCCTATCCTTATCCAATCCCGGAGATCAGTGAGCACCTCAGGGATGCTGCACGCCTATGCCATATGCCCAGAGATAAGAGACACCTCAAGGTGACGCCACATATCCATACTTTTGTGAGATCAGTGACATCTCTGGGATGGTGCAGCCTATAGATATCCTATAAATTAGTGACATATCAAGGATGACGCAACAATATCCATATACCTAGGATCAGTGACAACGCAACACACATCTATATTGTGGAGATCAGTGATATCTCTGGGATGATGCAGTCTATCCATATCCTAGAAACCAGTGATATCTCTGGGATGATTGCAGTCTATCCATATCCTAGAGATCAGTGATATCTCTGGGATGATGCAGCCTATCCATATCCTAGAGACCAGTGATATCTCTGGGGATGATGCAGCCTATCCATATCCTAGAGATCAGTGATATCTCTGGGATGATGCAGCCTATCCAATATCCTAAGAGATCAGTGATATCTCTGGGATGATGCAGCCTATCCATATCCTAGAGATCAGTGATATCTCTGGGATAATGCAGCCTATCCATATCCTAGAGATCAGTGATATCTCTGGGATAACGCAGCCTATTCAATTGCTAGAGTAACCAGTGACATTACTTTCAAACATTATAGGAAAACTTACATAATTGCTGATTTTATATTACAATATGACAGATCCTTATACTTACAAGCTTCTTTCTGGGGCCTGACTCCATGTAGTAAGCATAGGGATAGGTTGTATTGCAGGGTGTATCGGCACTGGAAAGGAAAGAAGAAAAGGTCAGTTGCAAGTCCTTGTACTGATCTTCAATATGTATTCGTCTTCTAAACCCACACAGGTTTAAAATGGGATATTCCACACAAAACCGGTATTATAGTTTTAGGCAGAGGATGGAGAAAGGTCAACCTCAAGCAAGCAGCTCAATATATTTTTGAAATGCATAAATAAATAATTCTTTACTGTGCTCTCTCCTGCAGTAAGCATGATTACACTATCTGTACACCCTCGGCTGTCTGAGTACTTGAATACTGACAGCATCTCATAGGATGCATTTACTGTTTGCCCCAATAACTTTCCACTCTGGTCAGTTGATCTTTAAATCAACTTTAGCAAAGCCAGAATTGTGCTTGCAGGGTCACACGCTGCTCAAATTTCAGCTGATTCAGCAGGAATCGGCCAATATTCAAGCCACCTAAGGCCAGTCTAAACTGTTCACTACAGTATTTCTCACGAAACGTATTGCATTAACACATGTTTTGCTATACACATGTTTATTCCCTTTGTGTGTATTGGGACAAAACAAAAAAAGGGAGGAAAGAAAGCAAATTCGACATAATGTCACACAAACCTCCAAAAATGGGCTGGACAAAAGTATTGGCACCCTTTCACAACTGCGGATAAATAAGAATGTTACAAGCATGTGATGCTCCTGTAAACTCACCTGGGGCAAGTAACAGGTGTGGGCAATATAGAAATCACACCTGAAAGCAGATAAAAAGGAGAGACGTTCACTTAACCTTTGCATTGTGTGTCTGTCTGTGCCACACTAAGCATGGACAACAGAAAGAGGAGACGAGAACTGTCTGAGGACCTGAGAACCAAAATTGTGGCAAAATATCAACAATCTCAAGGTTACAAGTCCATCTCCAGAGAACTAGATTTGCCTTTGTCCACAGTGCGCAACATTATCAAGAAGTTTGCAACCCATGGCACTGTAGCTAATCTCCCTGGTCGTGGACGGATGAGGAAAATTGATGAAAGATTGCAACGCAGAATAGTCCGGATGGTGGATAAGCAGCCCCAAACATGTTCCAAAGACATTCAAGCTGTCCTGCAGGCTCAGGGAGCATCAGTGTCAGCGCGAACTATCCGTCGACATTTAAATGAAATGAAACGCTATGGCAGGAGACCCAGGAGGACCCCACTGCTGACACAGAGACATAAAAAAGCAAGACTACAGTTTGCCAAAATGTACTTGAGTAAGCCAAAAGCCTTCTGGGAAAACGTCTTGTGGACAGATGAGACCAAGATAGAGCTTTTCGGTAAAGCACATCATTCTACTGTTTACCGAAAACGGAATGAGGCCTACAAAGAACAAAACACAGTACCTACGGTAAAATATGGTGGAGGTTCAATGATGTTTTGGGGTTGTTTTGCTGCCTCTGGCACTGGGTGCCTTGACTGTGTGCAAGGCATCATGAAATCTGAGGATTACCAAAGGATTTTGGGTCGCACTGTAGGGCCCAGTGTCAGAAAGCTGGGTTTGCGTCCAAGATCCTGGGTCTTCCAGCAGGACAATGACCCCAAACATACGTCAAAAAGCACTCAGAAATGGATGGCAAAGAAGCGCTGGAGAGTTCTGAAGTGGCCAGCAATGAGCCCAGATCTAAATCCCATTGAACACACCTGTGGAGAGATCTTAAAATTGCTGTTGGGAAAAGGTGTCCTTCCAATAAGAGAGACCTGGAGCTGTTTGCAAAGGAAGAGTGGTCCAAAATTCCGGGTGAGAGGTGTCAGAAGCTTATTGATGGTTATAGGAAGCGACTGATTTCAGTTATGTTTTCCAAAGGGTGTGCAACCAAATATTAAGTTAAGGGTGCCAATACTTTTGTCCAGCCCATTTTTGGGGTTTTGTGTGACATTATGTCATATTTGCTTTTCTGCCTCTGTTTTATATTTGTTCCAATACATACAAAGGGAATAAACATGTGTATAGCAAAACATGTGTTAATGCAATACCTTTTTTGTGTGACAATTTCGGCCATGAAAAAATATACACACATACAATATACATAATACATATATATTCATGTTGGGTGATGTGGAAGTGTCAACACTTTTAGATATGTTACCTCACACAGAAATCACTCAGATGCCCAAAATCTGACTTGTATCTTAGTACAGACTTCTGGGAACATCAGTGAGCCAATAACACAAGCAGTAACTTGCATTTCCGAGGGGGCGTTCTGTACACATCTGTGTACAGAAGGTCTCCAGGTTGCCATATTGCACTGCATTTTAGAGAATGGTGCAGATTGAAAAGTAAAGGTAATTTTTAATAACATTCAATTACAATAGGACTTGTCTGGCAATCGTACATGCTATATTTTATCTTTAAAAGCAGAGTAAGTGAGCGCTTGAATAATATATAAAATATAAATAGCAGCTGTACACCAAAAAGGTACTATATAAAACCTTCAAAGATGTAAATATAAAAAGGGGTGCAGCGCTATACAATATAACCAACAATAATAATAAAACTCAGAATCACAATCAGAAACATAAATAGTGACTGTGTACTAATAATCAAGGCCACTGAATGGTGGCTATAAAGTGAAGAAGTGCAAATAAAATGAAGAAGTCCAATAAAGGGGTGCTCTTAAGATCAAGATGATCCTCAGACGTCCAATATGTGGAACCGTAAAGGTGATAGGTAATGTAAAGATTGCGCACTCACCAGATACGCAATCTTTATGCGCATTTGTGTAAAAAAACACTGGACCTCTGGTGTCATCCAACTGGTCTGGTCAGATATGGTCAATGTAACTTTCACTGCCTGGTACTTGGATGCATGCAGCTGCTCTGTAGATCTGGCTGGTTCTCACCAGAACTCCTTGCTCCAGTGCTGTTCCTGATCCCTTTCACGTGTTTGTCTGTGCTCACCCAGTGAAAGTTACGTTGACCAGATCTGACCAGACCAGTTGGATGACACCAGAGGTCCAGTGGGTTTTTTACACAAATTAGCATAAAGATTGCGTATCTGGGTGAGTGCGCAATCTTTACATTACCTATCACCTTTACGGTTCCACATATTGGACGTCTGAGGATCATCTTGGATCTTAAGAGCACCCCTTTATTGGACTTCTTCATTTTATTTGCACTTCTTCACTTTATAGCCACCATTCAGTGGCCTTGGTTATTAGTACACAGTCACTATTTATGTTTCTGATTCTGAGTTTTATTATTATTGTTGGTTATATTGTATAGCGCTGCACCCCCTTTTATATTTATATATTTGATCTTTGTTTGTAATTTTTGTCCCCACAAAAGTGGAGTTACCCTTTAACATACAATTTAGAAACTCCTTTACATTTGAACTAAGGTCCCATAGGCCCGCTCAGCAGGAAAGTTAAAAGTCAGAAGAAACGGCCAGTTATATGTCCCAACTTACCTTTGCCAGCAGCTTGGCAGCATTCTGTAAGTACTGCCAGTCAATCCAGGTGCCGAGGTTGTTCATGACCCGCTCCTGGATCTTTTCTTGAATTTGCTGGTAGGTCTGGGCTTCCAGCTGCAGACTTTTATTGTGATTCTCCCACTGACAAAAAAATAAATAAAAGTATTTGTATTTCTTACAGGTACTTATTTAGTGCTGTCAATTTACGCAGCACTTACATATATATTATACAGTCACATCAGTCCCTGCCCTCATGAAGCTTACAATCCAAAGTCCCTAACATTCATACATACACATACTAGGGCCAATTTAGACAGGAGTCAATTAAAAAAATTCCAGCATTTCTTGAATGTGGGAGGAAACCGGAGCAGCCGGAGGAAACCCAGGCAGGCACAGGGAGAACATGCAAACTCCATCACATAGTGCCGCGGTTAGGATTCCAACCAATGACCCTAGTACTGCTAGGCGCAAGTGCTAACCACAGAATGCAAAGCATGTAGCATACAGATACAAAATGTGAGGCAAAGCAGTGTGATTACAGTGAAGCACAAACACACAGCCCCATAGTAAAACACACACCCAGCACACAGTTAACCCTTTGATCGCCCCTCATGTTAACATCCTGCCCAGTGCCATTAGTACAGTGTCAGTGTTTTTTTTTTCACTGTATTGGTGTCACTGAGTATGTCAGTGACACCAAGTCAGTTCCCCCCAGTGTCAGAATGCCCGCCGCAGTCCCACTATAAGTCGCTGATCACCACCATTACCAGGGGGGAAAAAAAATTCCCAGTATATATACCGCCATTTATAAACGCTATAACTTTCACGTAAACCAATTTACACATATTGGGATTTTTTTTTTTTTTTAGCAAAGACATGGAGCAGAATACATTCGGGCCTAAATTTATGACGAAATTAGATTTTTTTAAATTTTTTACTGGGCATATTTAATGGCAAAAAGTCAAAAATATTTTTTTTTTGGCAAAATTGTTGGTCTTTTTTTTTTATAGCTCAAAAAATAAACACACAGGCGATCAAATACCACTGAAAGAAAGCTCAGTTCGTGGGAAAAAAAAAGGGCATAAATTTAATTTGGGTACAGCATTGCATGACCGCGCAATTGTCAGTTAAAGTAACGCAGCGTTGTAACGCAAAAAATTGCCTAGTCAGGAAGGGGGGTAAATCTTCAGGAGGGAAAGTGGTTAATTACCCTTCCTGAATCAATCTCTCATATATATATATATATATATATATATTATTATTATTATACAGTATTTTTATAAAGCGCCAATGGTTCGCTCAGCGCTGTACATTACAAAGGGGGACAGAACATGTGACAGAACAATACCCAATACAATGCAAAACATGAGGGGATCGAGGGCCCTGCTCCTTGGAGCTTACAATCTAGGAGGGAGGGGATGGTGGCACAGGAGGAGATAGCTGTGGGGGATGGAGTGGTAGAAAGAGTGGAGGAGGTCAGGTTAGCAGGGGGGGGTGGGGTAGGCTTCCCTGAAGAGATGGGTTTATACACACACACCCACACACACACACACACACACACACACAGACACGTACACCTCGGTTTATGAACTTAATGCGTTCTCCGGGACGTTTTGTATTGTGAAAAATTTGTAAACCAAAAATGCGGTTTCCCATAGGAATGCATTGAAAACCAATTAAATCTGTTCTGGAGATCAGAAAAAAGTTAAAAAAAAAAAATAAAAAAAGTCGCTGTCACTATAGGTCTGTGCCAATTTTTACATGAAATTACCCGCTTTTTTTTTTTTTTCTTCTTCACTATAGCTCAGAGAATCAGCTGTCACATTCCCCCCAGCTAAAAGAAAGAAAGTTTCCTTTTAATTTATTTCCCCAGTTAAAAAAAAAAAAAAAAGGTTTCCTTTTAGTTTTATTCCTGAGCTAAAGAAACAAAGTATCCTTTAGCTCCAGGGAAAGTGACAGCTAATTCTGTGAGCTATAGTGAAGAAAAAAAAAAAAAAAAAAGCCGGAAATTGCATTTAAAAAAATCAGCAGACACATATGCTTTGTATTGCGGAAAAAAAATCGTAAAAGATTCATAAACCAAGGCATTATTTTATTCGAAAACCGAGGTACACCTGTGTTACACACACACACACCTGTACACACACACACAAATGTATTTATATATATATATATATATATTGAAATGTATAAAATGCATCACAATTTCTATTCAGACTTTAAAAAAACAAGTTATAATAAAAGGATCATAAGTTACACTTGTTGGTGAAAAATTACGCGTTTACCCTAGATTTCCCTGTCCTTTTTGCATGTTTCCTTTAGAGTGGTGAGCTCCTGAGATATAGATATATGGATATATATATATATATATATATATATATATATATATATATACACACACACACACACACACATATATACAGTGGGGATCGAAAGTTTGGGCACCCCAGCTAAAAAATTGTATTAACATGCATAAAGAAGCCAAGGAAAGATGGAAAAATCTCCAAAAGGCATCAAATTACAGATTAGACATTCTTATAATATGTCAACAAAAGTTAGATTTTATTTCCATCATTTACACTTTCAAAATAACAGAAAACAAAAAAAGGCGTCTGCAAAAGTTTGGGCACCCTGCAGAATTTATAGCATGCACTGCCCCCTTTGCCAAGCTGAGACCTGCCAGTGTCATGGATTGTTCTCAATCATCGTCTGGGAAGACCAGGTGATGTCAATCTCAAAGGTTTTAAATGCCCAGACTCATCTGACCTTGCCCCAACAATCAGCACCATGGGTTCTTCTAAGCAGTTGTCTAGAAAACTGAAACTGAAAATAGTTGACGCTCACAAAGCTGGAGAAGGCTATAAGAAGATAGCAAAGCATTTTCAGATGTCAATATCCTCTGTTCGGAATGTAATTAAGAAATGGCAGTCATCAGGAACAGTGGAAGTTAAAGCAAGATCTGGATGACCAAGAAAAATATCAGACAGAACAGCTCGCAGGATTGTGAGAAAAACAATTCAAACCCACGTTTGACTGCACGATCCCTCCAGAAAGATCTGGCAGACACTGGAGTTGTGGTACACTATTCCACTAAAGAGATACTTGTACAAATATGGTCTTCATGGAAGAGTCATCAGAAGAAAACCTCTTCTACGTCCTCACCACAAAAATCATCGTTTGAACTTTGCAAATGAACATATAGACAAGCCTGATGATGCATTTTGGAAACAAGTTCTGTGGACCGATGAGGTTAAAATTGAACTTTTTGGCCGGAATGAGCAAAGGTACGTTTGGAGAAGGGGCACAGAATTTAATGAAAAGAACCTCTGTCCAACTGTTAAGCATGCGGTTGGATCAATCGTGCTTTGGGGTTGTGTTGCAGCCAGTGGTACAGGGAACATCTCACGAGTAGAAGGAAAAATGGATTTAATAAAATTTCAGCAAATTTTGGATGGTAACTTGATGCCATCTGTGAAAAAGCTGAAGTTAAAGAGAGGATGGCTTCTACAAATGGATAATGATCCTAAACATACCTCGAAATCCACGGGGGATTACATCAAGAGGCGTAAACTGAAGGTTTTGCCATGGCCTTCACAATCTCCTGACCTCAACATAATTGAAAATCTATGGATAGACCTTAAAAGAGCAGTGCGTGACAGACAGCCCAGAAATCTCAAAGAACTGGAAGACTTTTGTAAGGAAGAATGGGCAAAGATACCTCAAACAAGAATTGAAAGACTCTTGGCTGGCTACAAAAAGCGTTTACAAGCTGTGATACTTGCCAAAGGGGGCAGTACAAGATATTAACTCTGCAGGGTGCCCAAACTTTTGCAGACGCCATTTTTTTGTTTTCTGTTATTTTGAAAGTGTAAATGATGGAAATAAAATCTAACTTTTGTTGACATATTATAAGAATGTCTAATCTGTAATTTGATGCCTTTTGGAGATTTTTCCATCTTTCCTTGGCTTCTTTATGCACATTAATACAAATTTTTAGCTGGGGTGCCCAAACTTTCGATCCCCACTGTACATACATATACATATATATATTTATTTTGTTTACCCCACTGCTGTATATGCAGCCTCACCACGTATATATATTGTGGTAATCATGACTAAGCTACTAAAACTCACTTGTTTGATTTTAAACTTATGATCCCCCTGACATCACAAAAGTGACCCCAAGCCTGCTCTTACCCTCTCGAAGTAGAAGAGATATTTCTTGAGGGCTTCTCTAGCCTGGGCCTGTTGACTCTGGTTTACAATATCGGGGTTCTCTTTGTATCGACTGCACTCATAATACTCGCTGCCGTGTGTTTTCCAGTCACCAAGGCACATCCAGCAAAAGTCTGAAAACACAAAGCAAAGTTACACCTAAACTTTTCAACAAAGCGCTGAACGTTTAAATTGATTAATAAAAAATTTAACATTTAGGGCTCATTTACACTTACTTCAAACACACATTAAAGCGCCCACCCCCAGCTCTGCTGATCCTCCTCTCTCTCTCCGGGTCCCCGCTCACCACGTGTGACAACTTCTAGTTTCTCCTGCTCTGGTCCCCCAGCTCTGCTGATCCTTTGCAGCTCAGTCCTCTCTCTCTGGACCCTGCTCACCTTCTGCTACAGCATTCCCATGTTGCACACCACGTGTGCCGTCTGGTAGTTGCCCCGATCCAGTCCAGACTCCACTCACCTTCCTGCTGCTCCACTCTGCACACCAGATGTGTGTCGTCTGCACCAGACACTTCCAGAATATATACATATGAACTGGAAGTGACAGCTGACAACATCTTTCTGGTTCACTTGTTGGGTTTCCCAGTGCATCCTGGGATTCCTCATATTTGTAAAACCGCAAAAACAAAGCAAAGCTAACACTGAATAAAAGCCCCTGAAAAGCTGCAAGTGCTCTAAAGTGAGCGTTGTCACTGACTTCTATGGAGGCTTTAGAGACACTTTGAAGCGCCAATAAAGCAACATGGGGTATAATTATTGAAGCAAAGCAAACATAACACGTAAACAGGACTAGAAGGTAACCATTTTATTTAGTGACACTGCATTCAAAGTTCTTTAAAAAACGTGTCTAATGCCACCTTTTGAAGCAAGTGTAAACAAGCCCCTAAGTGTCCAGACATACATTTAAGCAGGCCATACATGGGACGAATTCTGAATGGTTTTTCAATCGAAAACGTCATTCGTTCTGTAATCCAATGGTGCCAAAAATGATTTTGAAAATCGGTCGTTTGTCACGAACTTTCCAGCATGCTCAATAAATGAAATGGGGAGGAACCACAAAAATCGACTGGTGCCACTGCCCCACTAACAGAGCAAAAATTGGCTGATTATTTTTTAGGTCCCATTTTCAAACGAAAAATCATTCGGAAATCGTCCCATGTATGCCCGGCCTAACTGTATACACAACAGATTGCCCCAAAGTATTTCTTTTCACATTTGTTAATTATTTTCAACTTAAAGCGGAGTTCCGCTCACTCGCTAAAAAAAATTAAAAAAAAAGTCAGCAGCTACAAAAACTTTAGCTGCTGAATTTTAAAAAAACAGCCACTTACCTGTCCCACGATCACCCCGCCGCAGCCCGTTTCAACCGGCCGTCCTGTATTCCAGGAGGCCAGCATCTTCAGTGTGGGCACCCGGCTGTGACAGCTTGCAGCTTCACAGCTGGGTGCCCCACTGCGCATGCGCGAGTAGCGCTGCGCCTTCCGAATGGCCCCGTCTTCTGGGTCCTGTCACATGTCCCACAAGACTACGGGGAGGGAGGTTAGGAGGACAATGTCCGCTTACCATAGCCTATGTCAGGGGTAGGCAACCTGTGGCTCTCTAGCTCTTGTGGAACTACATTTCCCATGAGGCATTGCAAAGATTACAAAACTGACAGTTACAGCTATGACTTGCAGAGGCATGATGGAACTTGTAGTCCTGCGGCTCTCAGGTTGCCTACCCCTGGCCTAGGCAATCGCAGCGAAAGTGAGAGCGGGTACCTGTCAATTTTGGGTACCCGCTCCCCAAAGGTGCCAATCCTTAATGGGGAGTGGGGGGACCAATTTTTAAAGCAAAACTTCCCCTTTTGGGTGGAACTCCTCTTTAACTTGTCCGGTTTCACTTAAAAAAGTAAAAAAAAAAAAAATGAGGACGTTTAGCAGTTGTTTTTTCTTAGAGGTCAGGAAGCCACACGACTGCACTCCCCCCCCCCCCCCCTTTTCTGCCAGCTCTTGTATTGGGTTTTCTGTATAATTGGCAATGATCAGGTAACTAGAGAGAAACTATCGCTTTGCCCAGGTAGAGTACAGTGACCATGCCTCCTGACAGCCCCCCCCCCCCAGCATGTTATACTTACCCATCCGGCTTCCTTACTAGACTTTAATAGCCCCCTGAACTCACAAGTAAAAGACAGAGGTCAGTTAAGATGCTTACCATGCTTGCATTTCGAACATTGCTGTAAGAAACAAAAGACAGTATTACAAATTCTCACGTAATCCTATTACACAGGTGAGTTGGATCTAAAGACAACAGATGAAAATGTACAAAATCATGCCGGGTGTTTGAAGTTTATCTAAAGCCTTTTTTTTTTATACACTAAGGAAGGGTTAAAATATATGGTCATCTTCTTGGCTATCTTTCTCCCATTGGGAAGATTCCCCTTCATGTCCTGTCCTGCAGACACAATAGGAAGTGGGATGTAATCTCTGAAACGTGACGGACGGTTGACACCAGAACAAGTGTCACTAGAAAGTTTCCAATTTATAATCCTGTTCCAAGTAAAAACTTCAGTTGTGGAATTTCCCCTCACTTTCGGTCAAGATCAGGGGTCTCCAAACTTTAAACAAAGGGTTAGTTCACTGTCCCTTAGACTTTAGGAGGGCCAGTAGCAGTAGCAAATGCCTCGGGCTTGGTAGTCCATGGAAGTAAGAAAATGACATAGGGCCTGTGGTCAGCGGGAAGAATAGTGCCCCGTCGTTGGTGTCAGTGGGAAGAATAGTGCCCCGTTGTCGGTGTCAGTGGGAAGAATAGTGCCCCATTGTCGGAGTCAGTAAGAAGAATAGTGCTCAGTCGTCAGTGTCAGTAAGAAGAATAGTGCCCTGTCATTGGTGTCAGTGGGAAGAATAGTGCCCCCTGTCATTGGTGTCAGTGGGAGGAATAGTGCCCCATCCTTGGTATCAGTGGGAGGAATAGTGCTCCATCTTTGATGTCAGTGGAAGGAATAGTGCCCCATTGGTATCAGTGGGAGGAATAGTGCCCCATCATTGATGTCAGTGGGAGGAATAGTGCCCCATCTTGGTATCAGTGGGAGGAATAGTGCCCCATCCTTGGTATCAGTGGGAGGAATAGTGCCCCATCCTTGGTATCAGTGGGAGGAATAGTGCCCCATCATTGGTATCAGTGGGAGGAATAGTGCCCCATCATTGGTATCAGTGAGAGGAATAGTGCCCCATCATTGGTATCAGTGGGAGGAATAGTGCCCCATCATTGGTATCAGTGGGAGGAATAGTGTACCATCATTGGTATCAGTGGGAGGAATAGTGTTCCATCTTTGATGTCAGTGGGAGGAACAGCTTACCAACATTTACATCAGTGGTATTGTTGGTGTCAAAGGAAGGAATATGGCCCCTTTGTTGTCGTTAATGAGAAGAATTATGCAACACTGTTGGTATTGGTTGAAAGAATGGTGCCAGGAAGAGGAAATAACGCCTCGTATCTATGAGAGGATTAGTGCTCTGAGGGCTGGATAAGGGCAAGCAATGGGGTGCATCCGGCTCTTGGCCACAGCTTGGAGACCACTGGTCTAGGTCAGGGGTGGGCAACTGTGGCCCTCCAGCTATTGTAAAACTACAAGTCCTATGAGGCATTGCAAAACTGACAGTTACAAGCATGACTCCCAAAGGCAGATGCATGATGGGACTTGTAGTTCACCAACAGCTGGAGGGCCACAGTTGCCCACCCCTGGTCTAGGTGATGATGGTCATCAGGACAGAGAAAGTAGAACTTGCAAATTTGCTCAGAAATGGGCTTTAAAGTTGTAGTTTATTCTGAACATATTTTGTGTCCTTCCTGGTTCCTTCCTCCACCTCTCCACTATAATAAAATATTTTATTTTCCATGCAGACCTTATTTTAGATCCAGTGAATGGAGTTCTGTGCATCTCTAAGCAATGCAGGCAGATTGTGGCTGGTCAGAGAAGACAGCAAAGTGCTGTGCATAGCTCCTTGAAAATATCACAGCACCCTGCTTCAGTACTCCTCTCAAGAGCCCTCAGCCCTGATGCAAATATCAAAATGCCTTGCTGGGGGAAGGGGGGATGTCAGTCCGGAGTGGGCATTCCTAGGCAGGCTGTATTTGTATGCAGAGTGGCCTATGTAACATCCACATGTGATGCTGCACCTCCATGATTGAAACAACGGATATCCAATGAATGAAAAGAGTAGACTGTGGACAGTAAGGCAGGTGAAGAAAGGCCTTGGTGTCGCTGGACATTTACCAGCCACAAAGGCAGGGTCCTTCTGACTTGCTGCAGCAAATTCAGTACAGAAGAGTTCCATCATAATCCTTCTCACATTCACCCATAAAGTTTAGACTGGAGTATTATATGTTTAATTACAAATTACTTGAAAAAGGGAACATCAAAATATTTTCCATAGCAACCGACACCAGGCTGACATCAGGAATATGGATGGATGCTACAGGCAACAATTATGGCTTCATTCAGTTTTTACACACGGGGCCGACGGGGCCGACGTTGAGAAGATCTCATAATTACTACTATGGTCATTTTTTAGCTTGCCTAAGCAGCTGATAAATAAAAACAATTTTCACTGGAATATCTTCAATTAAAAACAGAATGTCAAGTCAATCAGTTAACACGATGAATCCTTGCTTTACATATGTAATACTCACCATGTGATTGCAACCTCCATTTTTTTCAATACAAATATTGCACTTGGGACACTGGCGGTGGAAAAGAAAAAAACAAAAAGTTACATACATCGCTAACTTCACTTCAGGACACGCTCTACATACAAGACAACTCACATTGCTTGGAAGCTTAAAGCCCAACTCTTGGAGTTGCATGTAAAGTAAACCTTTCATGAGAGAATTTCGAAGGCTGCTATTGCAGACCTCCTTTTAAAAATGGTAGCCCCCCAGTTGTTACATTGAATTACTATCAATAACACTTTCTAAATCATGGACCAAAAGTCCTTATCTACATACATGACCCAAGTCAAAGCACTGAAGCCAGGAGGATGGCATTTTCAGGAGAGGTCATCAATAGCAGTGTCAAAGCACTAGGTAGATTAGTCAATATGATCAATGACAGTCACAGCCTAAAAACACTACAAAACCATATCAACTGTCTAAAATCGGAATTCTCCTAACGTGTCTTACATCTTTAGTGTGAGCACTGATGTAGTTTGCAGTTTCTGAGTCATCCGCACACTTTGTCAGCCATTTCCGGATGGTAGCGCAATCTGTGGGAGCGTGATACATTTGGCGGCAGCGGAAGCTGGGAAAACAAAAAATACTCTGATGGGTTAAAGTGATACTAAACTCATGACACTAAATTAACTATACAAGATCTCCCACAGTACATAAAAAAATGGTAATGAGTTTATTTTAGTGATTTAGATGATGCATTTATGTTTCCACATGCTTTTATGGGTGGTGGTGTCTCCATCAATAAAGATATGGCATTCCACCCATTGTGTACTTTTTAAGTTACTGGGCATAGAGGAGGGAGGGAGGAACTGGGCTGTCATTTGGGATCTGAACACGCCCTAATGTGTGATTATTTCAAAGTCTTGTGACCTGAAGAGCTCCAGTCATACAGCAAATGCTCTCTCTAGCAATATACACAAAACAGAGCATGTGCAGACTTGTCACTGCTACTCTGTATCATTGGCAGATTGATTGGGGACAATATAAGAAGGGGAGGAACAGAGGATAGCAGGATCAACCAGCCTGTGTGCTGAGCAGGATTAACCACTAAGGTTGCAGAGGGAGTATAACAAGGATGCTCTACTGCGGAGGTCGGCAACCCATCGATTGCGGTCTACTTGTCGACCTGTCGACCATGGGCAGCTGACAGGTAGACCGCGAACAGGTCCCTTCCCCCCAGCCTCCTCCGCTGCTGCACATTCTCAGTGCACAGCGGAGAGTGTAAGACAGCAGGGCTCTGGACGGAGGGCAGGAGGGGGAGCTGGCCAAATTAACTTTTCATATTAAACCACAGGTGATTGGCTGCTAAGACCGACCTAGCAACCAACCACCTGCGGGTTAATATGAAAAGTTCATTTGTCCAGGTAATCCTCCTGCCCTCCATCCTGAGCCCTCCTTGCCTTCCTCTCTCTGCTGTGCACGGAGGATGCCAGCAGTGGTGGAGGAGGCTGGGGAAAAGGGGGCAGAAGACATTGCTGGGTGGGGGGGAAGGGGGCCAGATGTCACTGCTATGGGGGAAAGGGGGGCCAGAGGACACTACTGGGCGGAGGGGTTGACGTGCAGAGGACACTACGGGCAGGGCCACCCCCATAGCACTGTCCTCTACCGCCCTTCATACCCCCCCCCCCACAGTAGTGTCCCTCTGCCCCCCCTTTCCCCCATAGCAGTGACCTCTGGCCCTCTCACCCCCCCCCCCCCCCCCCAGCAGTGTCCTTCCCCCACCCTTCCCTCCCATGGACAGGTATTTTAAAAATCTGAACTCCCAGCAAGTGGCTGGGGATTTGGATCCCCCCCCCCCCCCCCGATGCCATAAGGCAGCTGCCTAGGCAGCCTTATGCTGGCGCCCAGCATACGGCTGCGTAGGCCGCCGGCTTAGGACACAGCGGGGTAGCCGGGGGGCAGAAAAATCCCAGTCCCCAGCCACTTGCTGGGAGTTCAGATTTTTAAAATAAGTACCTTCCAACGTTCCCCTATATTGTCCCCCTGGAGCAGCTGAAGGCTAGCATCTCCTCCTCTCCCTCCTACCAGAGTACAGCTGCTGTAGGAGGAAAATCCAGGGGACCTCCCCTGCTGCCCCTACTGTCCTTGTTTTTTTCTGCTGCCTGGCCCCTCCCCCAAGTGCTCCCCTTTCAACAGGGCTCCTAAAGAAATTGTGAAAAATATTATGTATAGTATGTATGGCCGGCCTTAGTGTCACTAAAGATCCTTCAAGCGAATTTCGACCCATGTATGGCCGGCCTTCGTGTCACTAAAGATCCTTTAAGCGAATTTCGACCCATGTATGGCCGGCCTTAGTGTCACTAAAGATCCTTCAAGCGAATTTCGACCCATGTATGGCCGGCCTTAGTGTCACTAAAGATCCTTCAAGCAAATTGCGACCCATGTATGGCTGGCCTTAGTGTCACTAAAGATCCTTCAAGCGAACTGCGACCCATGTATGGCCGGTCTTAGTGTCACTAAAGATCCTTCAAGCGAACTGCGACCCATGTATGGCCGGTCTTAGTGTCACTAAAGATCCTTCAAGCGAATTGCGACCCATGTATAAAGATCCTTCAAGCAAATTGCGGTCTTAGTGTCACTAAAGATCCTTCAAGCGAACTGCGACCCATGTATGGCCGGCCTTGGTCACTAAAGATCCTTCAAGGTGCGACCCATTATGGCCGGCCTTAGTGTCACTAAAGATCCTTCAAGCGAATTGCGACCCATGTATGGCTGGCCTTAGTGTCACTAAAGATCCTTCAAGCGAACTGCGACCCATGTATGGCCGGCCTTAGTGTCACTAAAGATCCTTCAAGCGAACTGCGACCCATGTATGGCCGGCCTTAGTGTCACTAAAGATCCTTCAAGCGAATTGCGACCCATGTATGGCGGCCTTAGTGTCACTAAAGATCCTTCAAGCGAATTGCGACCCATGTATGGCTGGCCTTAGTGTCACTAAAGATCCTTCAAGCGAACTGCGACCCATGTATGGCTGGCCTTAGTGTCACTAAAGATCCTTCAAGCGAATTGCGACCCATGTATAAAGATCCTTCAAGCGAATTGCGACCCATGTGTCTTAGTGTCACTAAAGATCCTTCAAGCGAACTGCGACCCATGTACCCTTAGTGTCACTAAAGATCCTTCAAGCGAATTGCGACCCATGTATGGCCGGCCTTAGTGTCACTAAAGATCCTTCAAGCAAATTGCGACCCATGTATGGCTGGCCTTAGTGTCACTAAAGATCCTTCAAGCGAACTGCGACCCATGTATGGCCGGCCTTAGTCTGGTCACTAAAGATCCTTCAAGCGAATTGCGACCCATGTATGGCTGGCCTTAGTGTCACTAAAGATCCTCAAGCGAATTGCGAAAATGGCCTTAGTGTCACTAAAGATCCTTCAAGCGAACTGCGACCCATGTATGGCCGGCCTTAGTGTCACTAAAGATCCTTCAAGCGAACTGCGACCCATGTATGGCCGGCCTTAGTGTCACTAAAGATCCTTATTGCGAAGATCCTTCTAAAGCGAATTGCGACCCATGTATGGCCGGCCTTAGTGTCACTAAAGATCCTTCAAGCGAACTGCGCATGTATGGCCGGCCTTATGTCACTAAAGATCCTTCAAGCGAATTGCGACCCATGTATGGCCGGTCTTAGTGTCACTTTAAAGATCCTTCAAGAATTAGTCTAACATAGCTGTGGCGAAGAAAAAAACGAAATTTAACAGACCAGATGATGGTGTCACTTACAGTGGTACAGCAAGTTAAGTTGGGCTTGTGATATGACTGTTTATGTGCTGCTGCGGGAAGAAGCAAACTGGAGGTCCGCTCTGTAAAGGCCTGATTCTGTTAAAATAGAAAAGCTAAAAATTGACTTTTTTGGGAGAAGGGATCCTATTTTTTGGGGTTAGAGCCAAGGAAAAATATGCAGCGTGTTTGTGTTCCGCTCTCAGACAGGTCACATGGACTTGGCACTTTTACTGCTGAACAGGCACGGCAGGTCAGCAAGTCTGGGAATGACACCAATATGTAAAACTAGGATTGACCTACACAAATCCTCCAAGCACAGCAAGCACCGCTCTGCATGAAGAAACCCAACTCTGCTGTAGCCACTATAATGGCCAATTTATAATCTAGAAAAGTCAATAAAGCTATTGGGGGAAAAAAAAAATAAAAAATTTATGACATGAATAAAACATTTATGTCTGTTAACCACTTCCTGACCCACTCACAGTAAATCTACTGTGAGTGGGTGGCAAGTGCAGGCACCTCAGCATCGCGGTCCTGTGCGCAACCCCTGCCGATCTGTGCTGTGATTGGATACAGCACAAGTTAGCCAGTTACAGCCAATGATTTTGGTTGTATACCAGCTGATTGGCTGTGGCCAATCACAGAACATACACAGAGGACTCTGTACACAGAACAGCATTCTGGCTGTTCCTACTCCTTAAAAAAAAAGGGAGGGAAAAAAAAGGGAGAAAAAAAAAAACAGGAGAAAAAAAAAACGGGAAAAAAAAAAACAGGGAGAAAAAAAAAAAAAAAAAAAAAAAAAAAAAAAAAAAACAGGGAGAAAAAAAAAAAAACGGGAGAAAAAAAAAAAAAAAAAAAAAAAAAAAAAACGGAGAAAAAAAAAAAAAAAAACAGGGAGAAAAAAAAAAAAAATCAGGGAGAAAAAAAAAAATCAGGGAGAAAAAAAAAAAAAGAAGAAGCCAGATCTGTGAATAAAAAGCAGCACATATTACACTTATTATTTATTTCATATTTTACACACACACACACACATATATATATATATAAATACATACATATATATACACATACATACATATATACACATACATACATACATATATATACATATATTTTGTACATTCACATCAGTCCCTAACCCTCAAGGGGCACTTGTTTGGGCACACAGTTTATCCCAGTATCATTAGTACAGTGTACACTATTATATCTGACCACTGTGTATTAGTGTCATTAGCAACATCAGTGTCAGGAAGTGTTCCTCCCAGCCAGTGTCCGTTAGTACCAGATTACCCACCACACTATCATAAGTCGCTCAATACTGTCATTACAAGTATAGCGTCTATAGCTGCATACATTCCAGCATATATTTCATAGTTTATAGATGCTATTCATACAAACCAATTAATTTACAATATTTGGGATTTTCTTTACCAAAAGACATGTAGCACAATACATATTGGCCTACATTTATGAAAAAAATTTAACTTTTTATTGGATTGGTTTCAAAACGGAAAGCAGAAATTAATTTATCAAAATGTTTAGTCTTTTTTCATTTATATAATAAATAAAAAACTTGGTGGTGATCAATTACCATCAAAAGAAAGATCTTTTTGAAAACTAAAAATTATATAAATTTCATTTGAGTACAGTGTTGCATGACCAAGCAATTGCCAGTTAAAGTAGTGCAGTACTGAATAGAAAAAAAAAAAATGCCCTGGTTGTGAATCTTCTGGAGGACAAGTGGTTACAAAAACTGTAGCTGCTGACTTTTAAAAAAATGGACACTTACCTGTCCCTCGATCCCACGGTGTCCTCCCCACAGCACGTTTCACCGGCCGCCCAGTGTTCTCGGCGCCGGCATCTTCAGTGTGGGCACCCGGCTACGACAGCTTGTGGCTTCACAGCCGGTTGATCACTGCGCATGCGCGACAAGTGCTGCGCTTTGTGAATGGCCCCGTAGTCTTCTGGGACCTTTCACATGTCCCAGAAGACTACAGGGAGTGAAGGGGGGGGGGGGGGAGACAACTTTCGCTTCCAATAGCCGAGGCTTTCGCAGCAGAAAAGGGAGCGGGTATCTGTCAATTTCGGGTAACTGCTCACCCCCCAAAAGTGCCAATCCTTAACAGCGAGCGGGGGACCAGTCCTTAAACCGGAAATTCCCCTTTTGGGTGGAGCTCCGCTTTAACCAATCTTATTCTAATCTGTCCTAAACCATATAAGGGGGAATCCGGTCTATTACTACACTTGACACAGACAGTTTCTCCTTTGCAGGCTAAACCTACAGAGACCACTAGAGTCAATATGGAGCAATCGGTACTAATCGGTAGTTCAATAAGCATCATTCGTGTGGGTAAAAAAATGAAGACCGATCAAATGCTAAATTAGAATACAGAAGACTGCATTAGGGCCCCATGTACACGGGACACTTGTGAACGATGGAAACTGACTGCAGGGAAACGTAGGTTAAAAACCGTCTGTTTAGCCGCGTCTGCATACCGCGTTTACGTTTAGAAGCGTTGTTTTAAAAATAACTACAGGAGACCTTCCCAAACGCCCAGAATGCACTGAAAAGTGGTAAATTGTTAACTATTTCAGACTGTTTCAGAGAAATACAGAGAGTAGAAGCAGAGACAGCAGTATGTGTTGAGATTAGCTTAGGTGTGAGTTGCTCATTAACATTTCTTTTGTTTCCAAGGGTGGGAAAGGTGTCTGGTGGAGGGAGTCATTAAGGCCACCTGGCAGGGGGTCTTCATGAGGAATTTGAGGTATGAATGGTAATTTAACATATCTTTTGTTTCCAAGGGTGGGAGAGGTCTGAGGTGTGAATTGGTCATTACAATGTGTGACAAGCTTGGTGGGAACAGTGTTTGTTTTGTCCATCTGAGTACCTTGAAAATGCTTTGCATGCATTTTTCATGATGAAAAAAGGCTCTGGACAGCATCAGGAACTGGAAGAGTAGAAAAAAAAAATTTCAGATGTAAACGCTTATAAACGCGATTTGCCGCGTTTACAATCGTTTTGAGTTTGAAACGTTGATAAAATCAACTGCTGAACGCAAGTTTTCTGCGTTCAAAAAAACGACTGTAAACTCAAATGCCTGTAAACGTCTGTGTACATGGACACATAGGAAAACATTAGGGAGAGTTCAGGGGCTGCTGAGAAAAAACGCGTGAGTTTATCAGCTGCAGTGTACATGAGCCCTTAGAGATTGACCTGTGCTGGGATACTGCCACTTACCAGAAGACCTCGCTGCACCTGTTGCACTGCACTCGCCGAGCCTTTGGCTCCTGAACCTGTATGACCATAGGACAGTCTGCACCGGGGCAAAGCTGTAACTGGTAGTGGCTCTGTGGGAGAAAGAAAAATGAGTGCTTAGTGTTGAATCTATGAAGTAGAAAACGCACATAAAAGCAAAAGCTATTGGGAGAAGGCGAGAGATGGGGGGGGGGGGGATACCTCCACATAGTCCCTGAAGAGATAACGCTTATATTTGTCTTTTAGCTCCTCATTAGGCAGTAAAGGAAACACAAAATCTTCTGGCGTTCGGAGCAAGCAGTCTTGGGCCATGCAGGAAATCCCTAGGAGCAAACAAGCAGAAAAAACAATTAGGAAACTAAAAGCTGACAAAACCACCCAACCAGCTTAAAGTAGAACTCTAGGCAAAACGTTATTTTCATTTTGGATAGGAAATCATTATAACCCGTTAGATTTTTTTTTTTTTGCCATCTTTGGTCTATTGTGGAGATTTCTCTTCACTTCCTGTCTATAGCCAAACAGGAAGTGAGAGGAAATCCCTGCAACTTAACGGAATTTCTTAGGGACCCCCCTCCCCGGGTCACCAGAACTAGTATCCCTATAGGAAGATTTGCCCTCAATTACTTTTCTGGGGAAAACCCAGAATTTGAGATTTTCTTTCACTTTCAATAAATATGGAAAACCGGATAAATAGAGAGGCTGAATCTCCCTAACAGGGGCACAGACAGCAATAAAAATTGATAGGGGTTCTAATTCTTCTTCACACTGTCCAAAATGGTTAAAGTTTTGCCTTTAGTTATGCTTTAACCATTTGTTGACCGCTATAGCCAAATGACAGCTACAGTGCGATCGTTCAGTTCTGGGAGGGCGTCATATGATGTCCTCCCAGAACTGCGCCCCCAGCAGGGCGCACCCTGCGCTCTCTGTAACTGCTTTGACACAGCAGATCACATGACATGGTAAAGGGCCAAGCACATCGGCCTTTTACCACGTGTTCAGTTGTTTCCAATCAGCTGATCACAATGTAAACATACTTGCTGGTTATCGGCAGAACTTTCCTTGCGCTGTCACAGCATGAGGAAAGTACTGCCGATAACCGTCAAGTGTGAAAGGAGACATCTTCACTGATAATCAGGGCACTGATTATCAGTTCAGCCCCAAAAGTGCCCATCTGTGTCTGTCAGTGCCGCCCATCAGTGCCCATCATAGCCGCCCATCAGTGCCCATCATAGCCGCACATCAGTGCCCATCATTGCCGCCCATCAGTGCTCATCATTGCTGCCCATCAGTGCCCATCATTGCTGCCCATCAGTGCCGCACATCAGTGCCCATCATTGCCGCCCGTCAGTGCTCATCATTGCTGCCCATCAATGCCCATCATTGCTGCCCATCAGTGCCAACTATCAGTGCCAACTATCAGTGCCAACTATCAGTGCCAACTATCAGTGCCAACTATCAGTGCTGCCTCATCAACTAACATCAGTGAAGGAAAAAAATTACCTGCATGCAAAATTTTACAACCAAAATATTTTTTTCCCTTCAAAATTTAGTCTTTTTCTTTGTTTAGTAAAAAAAAAAAAAAAAAAAAAAAAAAAAAAAAAAAAAAACACCCAATGGTGATTACATACCACCAAAAGAAAGCTCTATTTGCGTGAAACAAATGATAAAAATTTCATATGGGTACAGTGTTGCATACCCACGCAATTGTCAAAGTGCGACATCACTGAAAGCTGAAAATTGGCCTGGGCAGGAAGGGAGTAAAAGTGGCCAGTAGGCGAGGGGTTAAAGATTAGTGTACTTACCCACACCGGCCCCGTCCTTCACCAGAACTGTGCAGTGCTGCTCCCAACAGCTGCGGCAGAATGGATGCTGACAGGCCAAGGACAGCAGGTTCTCCTTCCGGACAAACTGCATGCACACCGCGCAGTGATGGGAGGAATGTGCCATTACCTGGGAACACAGAACTCTCTCAGCACTGCAGTCTTAGCATTTCACCATTACACATCGCAATCTAGGACACCACAGCGGTTTTGAGACCGTTTTATTACGAATATATATTTTTATATACACCGGACAAGATAAGAGGTCCTTCAGGGTATCAATGTAACGTTTTATTCAAAATATAAAGCACGGATACATCTGTAGACAACACTAGTGCCTTAATAGATATTAAAGTGTTCATTTATTTATCTTTTATAAATATACTATATTTCTGCAGCACACCCCCCTCAGCAGGTCCCCAAACAAGGGGCCAGTTTACTGTCCTTCATACTTACTATGGGGAGCCAGCACTGTGTCAGCGGGAGGAACAGCGCCCCCCGTCGGCGGCGCCGGCGGGAGGAACAGCGCCCCCGTCGGCGGCGCCGGAGGAACAGCGCCCCCGTCGGCGGCGCCGGAGGAACAGCGCCCCCGTCAGCGGCGCCGGAGGAACAGCGCCCCCGTCAGCGGCGGAGGAACAGCGCCCCCGTCAGCGGCGCCGGAGGAACAGCGCCCCCCGTCGTCGGCGCGGCGGGAGGAACAGCGCCCCCGTCGGCGCGGCGGGAGGAACAGCGCCCCCGTCAGGCGCGGCGGGAGGAACAGCGCCCCGTCAGGCGCGGCGGGAGGAACAGCGCCCCCGTCAGGCGCGGCGGGAGGAACAGCGCCCCCCGTCAGGCGCGGCGGGAGGAACAGCGCCCCCGGCGTCGGCGGGAGGAACAGCGCCCCCGGCGTCAAACGGGAGGAACAGCGCCCCCGGCGTCGGCGTCAACGGGAGGAACAGCGCCCCCGTCGTCGGCGTCAACGGGAGGAACAGCGCCCCCGTCGTCGGCGTCAACGGGAGGAACAGCAGCGCCCCCGTCGTCGGCGTCAACGGGAGGAACAGCGCCCCCGTCGTCGGCGTCAACGGGAGGAACAGCGCCCCCGTCGTCGGCGTCAACGGGAGGAACAGCGCCCCCGTCGTCGGCGTCAACGGGAGGAACAGCGCCCCCGTCGTCGGCGTCAACGGGAGGAACAGCGCCCCCCCGCGTCAACGGGAGGACCAGCGCCCCCGTCGGCGTCAACGGGAGGAACAGCGCCCCCCGTCGGCGTCAACGGGAGGACCAGCGCCCCCGTCGTCGTCAACGGGAGGAACAGCGCCCCCGTCGTCGGCGTCAACGGGAGGAACAGCGCCCCGTCGTCGGCGTCAACGGGAGGAACAGCGCCCCCGTCGTCAACGGGAGGAACAGCGCCCCCGTCGTCAACGGGAGGAACAGCGCCCCCGTCGTCAACGGGAGGAACAGCGCCCCCGTCGTCAACGGGAGGAACAGCGCCCCCCGTCAACGGGAGGAACAGCGTCAGTGGGAGGAACAGAGCGCCCCGTCGCTGGCGTCAGTGGGAGGTAGAGCGCCCCCGTCATTGGCGTCAGTGGGAGGTAGAGCGCCCCCATCATTGGTGTCAGTGGGAGGTAGTGCGCCCCCATCATTGGTGTCAGTGGGAGGTAGAGCGCCCTGTCGCTGGCGTCAGTGGGAGGTAGAGCGCCCCATCTGGTGTCAGTGGGAGGTAGAGCGCCCCCTGTCATTGGCGTCAGTGGGAGGTAGAGCGCCCTGTCGCTGGCGTCAGTGGGAGGTAGAGCGCCCCATGGTTGCTGACAACAGATGGAATTATGCTTCATCACTGAGGTGTGTATGAAGAATAGTTCCTTGCATTAGTAGGAGACATTGTGCTCCAATGGCCGCATCCAGGGACCACTGCTTTAAGACTGTTTCTCTGAACGAAACCTCAAACTAAACTATCAAATAAGGGAGGAGTCACTGCTCTGATGGCTCAGTAAGCTTTATAAACTATCGGATTTGTCTCGAAGTCGACACTATGGTGGAGATTTACTACAAATGGAGCACTCAGAATCTGGTACAGCTGTGCATGGTAGCCAATCAGCTTCTATCTTCAGCTCGTTCAATTAAACTTTGGCAATAAAATCTAGAAGCCGATTGGTTTCTATGCAGAACTGCACCAAATATTGAAGTAAATCTCCCCTATTCATCACATGTGAAAAAGGCTACAGTGCCATCCACTGTCTGGATGGAAGACTAAGCAATATCAATATATACAATATTGCAAATTTACCTGACCAAACACATTTTTTTTGTCTGGACCATAAGAGCTAAATTGTATCCTGTATGGTGTTCCCACCACACTTTCTCTTTAAATGTTAACTAGGTGGATGAGTAAGTGCAATACAAACAGAACATACCATGAAAATCCGCATAAGCAGACCATGTCCAAACAGTCAGTAGATCCAGAGGGTCAGGCAGCAGAGAGTGCATGTTGATCCATCTCCCGAACCGGAATAAGAAAACAACTACTGCAAAAGTGACTGCAGAGCTCAATCTCAGTCTTCACGGAACTTACTCTTCACAGGACTGAGATTGAGCTCTGCAGTCACTTTTGCAGCAGTTGTCTCATCACACACAGCGGAAGCAAAAGAATGTTACATCACTTCTACTTTCAACGCAAAACGTGTCGTCACTGTCACACCTGCAAATCATGTAGGGTTTCCATTTTTTGTCTAACCCCGAATATATACAGAAAACCATCTTTCTTTGTATGTATAAGCAGATCAGGTAAGATACTTCCGTAACTGAAAAGCAATGAAGTGCTTCACAGCGCAGCAAAGTGTGTGAGATTCTGTCTTGTGATACTACACACTAATAGCTGCTCAGGTTTTCTGTATATTAAAGGCTTAGCTGAGCTTTTCAGAAGAACAAAAATGAAAAGATGAACACCGTACACCGCTCCCAACCTCCCCAAGTCCCCTCTGTACTTACCTCCATGGGTGCTGATCTGTCAGTGCGCATGCAGCCGGTATAGCAGTCCAGGGATTAATGCCGGCCAGACGTTTCGAAAATCGGCCAATTTTTCATGCGAAAGATTAATCAGTCGATTTTTGCACTGTTATTGGGTTAATTCGTCTGCCGGTTTTCGCGTTTTTTTGCACTTTTGGATTATCGGTCATGTTTGAAAATTCATGGAAAATTACCGTTTTTTGTGTCAATGATGGTCAATCATACAACCGTTTTTTACAAAAAAATATGAGCCTTGAGGGTCTGAAAGGTCAAAAATGACAATTTCCTGTCATGATTTTTATGACGGACGATTTTCGTAATAATTGGTGGTTACGTTTGGTTTAACGAACGACCGATGTTTTGTTTATAGGACGAAAAAACCCCGGTTTTCGAACCGTCTATGGCCTGCATTAGACATAATCACTTCTTCCTCCTCTACTTTTGATGGAGCTTCCAGGATGGATCAGAGGGACTTTGAATGGTCAAAGCAGTCAAGTGTCAGTGCTGACCGCTTTGACAAATCGGAATCACTCAAATCTATAACGGAAGCCCCACAACAAGAAGGGAATGAAGAGCAGGGAATTAAAATCCCTGGACAGCTACACTGGCTGTGTGAGACAGATCACCCATGGAAGTACAGTGGGGACTGGAGGTGGGGGGTTTGGGAATGGGGGGTACGGAGGGGAAGGTCTAGAGTGCTAGTTCACCTTTTCATTTTTACTGAAATTTACTAAAAAAAACTGGATCGCTCAGAATCTGGTGCAGCTGTGCATTGTAGCCAATCAGCTTCTAACTTCAGCTTGTTGAATTAAGCTTTGACAATAAAACCTGGAAGCCGATTGGTTTCTATGCTTCACCAAGATTTTGCACTCTCCAGTTTTACCAAATAAACCTTTTACCCTAGGTTCACATCTGTGCGAGTGGTGCCGCTGCGGATCCGCACGAAAATCTGCGTGGCCGCACCACCTGCACAGAGAAATGCGGACCTGCGGGCGGGTGCCATTAGTTCTAATGGCATGCCGCCCGCACTGGAAAATGCAACCGTACTGGGAACCTCAGCTGTGTTTTCCACAGAAGTGCAGGGACTTCTTCCCTGCGTGTCACAGGGCACGGGAGTCCATTCAAAGGAATGCGCTCTGGTGCCCAAGCAAAACGCGACACGGCCACATAGGTGTGAACCTAGGGTGAATGCTTGGTATGGCTTTAAAGGACCTCAGTGCCCAGCATGGGGCATTTCGGGGCTTCCAGCTCTTCCAATGGGTCCCCAGTACAGCTGCGGTTTCCAAATAAGTGCAGGGACTTCTTTTCCCTGTGTGTCATGGGCATGGGAGTCCATTCACATGAATGGGCTCTCGTGCCCGTGCAAAACGCGGCCTGCATGGCCGCATAGATGTGAACCGGGGGTTAAGTATTTAGTATAACTCTGAAGTGTATCTGCCTATACATCCAGCTGTGAAACACGCCCTACATTCCATCAAAATGAATTCACAATAAAGCTAAAGGCCACCCGTGGTGAACCTGCAGCTGAAGCAACAGCCGGGCTCGCTGCAGAAAACATGAGACACCAAGATGTGTGCACAGAGCACTCACATGTTTAGACGATGATGGCTGAACCCTGGCATCAACCAACAACTGCGCAGAATTCATTTTATGCCTACAATGAAGAAAAAAAAAACAATGGAGTCATTGACAAGTATACAATGTACGTCTTCTGCAATGCGTGAACACCTCCCCAAAATCTGTCTTTTTTAATAACATTGTGAGTAAAGAAAATGGTTTGGAGCTGACAACCAGGGTAGATAAAAATCAATGATTTTTTAAAAAAAAAAAAAAAAAAAAAAAAAAAAATCGGATTTTCTTTATTTAAATCAGATTTTTTTTATTTAAATCAGATTTTTTTAAATAAAATGCTTTTTTAGGAAAAAATATATTACCATCCAAAGGTTATTCCATCATGAAATAAAGATTTGTTTTTTAATTATGTAGAATAAGGCTGTATATGTTTAATTTTTTTGGTAAATAAATCCCATGAATCCATTCACAATGTCACGCTCTTCCAGAGGTGTTTGTAAGATTATTGGGCAGTTTCTCGCCTACAAGATATTATCACAGATGATCGGTTTACTTTTGCAGTTCTCAAAACTGAATTTGACTCAGCGGAGATCACATGCCTCTTCTTCACAGCAAAAATGTTATAACATGAACAGAGTTAAGAAAAAGACCTTCATCCTAACTTCTACAAACCTATGAATACAGAATCAACCCCTTCACTGCTAAGTTTCAAGAAGTTCAGTGAATAGAATAGAAACAATATTTTTCTGATTGTTTGGAGTGGAATAGATCTGCACAAGAAGAAAGTGAAACTAAGTGTGAGGGGGGAGGGGCTGACAGTCTACGTTTCTTACAATATATATATTTTGTTTAGCCAAATTAGTTACCAAACATGGATGTTTAAGCAAATCACATATGCTGGAATGTTATTGTTTCAGATGAATAAATCTATTTAAATTGTTATTATTAAGGTAATGATTATTTTTCTCCTTCCTAAGTACAACAGAAAAGTTGTCCAAATATGAATGATTAACCTATTAAACTGGGGATAAAAAAACTAATATGAAAAGTTGTTATTCTAAAAATCTTCATCTACTTGTATATTAAAGTTATACCAGCAAGAATTAGTCTTTATGTAGAAAACTAGGATTTAAATCAAGCCTTACTGACTAGTGATTTACATCAAATCCACCCTGCTGACAACACAATGCATTTGCTGCTCTGAAATCCCAAGCAGTGTTTTCAGCCCTGCCTGGACTACAGAACACTTCTTCTTGCAATAAATACCATGGTGACAATAGGCAAAATCTAACCAATGGTCAAAGTGCTGTGGAAGAGGTTAGAAAAGGATCTTTAACCCCTTTGTGCCGGAGGGTAAAAACAAATCTTAATGCCTAAGCACAATTTTGCAACTTTGACCTGTGTTAGTAAAACCGTACATATCATCACAACTACTTTATGCATCCAGGTAGATTATACCGTGTTTTTTTTTAGGACAAATTGGGCTTTCATTTGGTGGTAAATGGCAATGGATATCTCCTGATTTTTTTTTTTTTTTATTATTACTAAAGGAAAACGGTCCCAAAATAATGAAAAAAACAAAAAACAAAAACACTTTTTAAAATGTAGCTGTATATTTACTGCTACTGCCATAACCTACCACCAAAGAACAACCCAAAATAATTTTTCCTGCTCCTGTCGATCGCAGCGATACCACGTGTGTATGTTAGTAGTTGTTTGTACCCGTAGTACAGCTCAGAAATAATAGTGCGCAATTTGCTTTTTTTTTTTTTTTTTTTTTTTTTTTTTTAATCCTGCCATGGACACCAATTTAAAAAAAAAAAAAAAAAAACAAACCTGACCCTGACCTTTGACTCAAACAATAACCCTGGCACCAGGGGCGGACTGACAACTCATGGGGCCCCCGGGCCATAGGGGATCATGGGGCCCGTGTCATTGCCCAAACTCAAAAAAACCAATGAAAAGGTACCAGGGGCATCTCATGGGGCCCCCTACTGACCCCGGGCCCTCGGGCAGTGCCCGAGTTTCCAAATGGTCAGTCCGCCCCTGCCTGACACTGAACTAGATCAAACCTTGTTCTAGCCATTTTTGTATTATTTTTTATTTATTTATACACACACTTTTTATTCTTTCTCTCTGAAAGGACAGAGAGCTACAATGTATAATATAAAGATACAATGTATAATATAAAGATACAATGTATAATATAAAGATACAATGTATAATATAAAGATACAATGTATCTCTCTACTCCATTCGGAGAGAAAAAAAGGGGGGCAGGCTTCACAGTGACTGATCACTGTGATAGCCAATCAGAGGCTATCACAGTGATCAGGTAACCCGATTCGATTGTTAGAACGGGACTCGGGGCTCTCAGTGACACCCCAGTCTTTGTGCTAGGAGTGTGCCGCGCGGCGTGCTCCCAGCAGAAAGACAGGTTCGCAAAAAAGCGGAGTCCGCTGAGGCCGCTCATTTGTGTGGGGTTGGCGGGTTAATCTTTAACACCATTTACCTGTACTGCTGCCAGGGCTTTTTTCAGCTGGACCGAGGGGGAACGCAGTTCTGGCACTTCCAGCACTGAATTAATTTCATAGCAAGGGGTGCTGGGGTGTGTTGGAAGGTTTATTGATGCTTGCTGCTGGGAGATCTATTGTTACTGGAGGGGATTTATTTTTGCATGTCAGTCTATTGTTGCTGGTGGGGAACTATGGTGGCTGGAGGTCAACTGTTGGTGGAAGAGATCTACTATTGAAGGAGGGGGTTTTATTCACGCCGGCGGCCGGGGAGTCTACACACGCCCGCGGCCGGGGAGTCTACACACGCCCGCGGCCGGGGAGTCTACACACGCCCGCGGCCGGGGAGTCTACACACGCCCGCGGCCGGGGAGTCTACTCACGCCCGCGGCCGGGGAGTCTACTCACGCCCGCGGCCGGGGAGTCTACTCACGCCCGCGGCCGGGGAGTCTACTCACGCCCGCGGCCGGGGAGTCTACTCACGCCGGCTGCTGGGAAATCTGATGTTGCTGCTGGGGGTCTACTGTTGCTGGGCTGTTATTTTGGTACAGGGGTCCATTGTTGCTAGGGGAATCTACTGTTGCTGTGGGGGTCTATGGCGGCTGGCTGTGGTGGATTTAACTGCTTTTCTTGTTATTATTAACAAATTCTACACAAATTACTTAGTGCCACAAAATATTTGGCTCTGTATTCTCTAAAAGGAGAGATACTGGGAGGGGGGGGGGGGGGGAACCAAGGGATGGTGCTCAGAGGTGAGTAGAGAGGAAGAGACAAGGAGGGGGTTCCAGAACCTATTCTCTGAGGGGAAAAAAAAAAAAAAAAAAGACCTGACTGCTGCATTGCAATACCAAGCATTGTGGTAAGGCAGCCAATTTATTTTGAAGGTATTATAATATTACAGAAGCTCAGCAGTGTACCATCGGGTGTTGACATCAGGAAGAAGCTTCTCCCTTAATCTACTTTAAAAAGGAATAGAATTCATGAAAATCGATGTAGCTGCACCTGGTAAAAGCGATGATTAAATTTCAGATGGCGCTAGCCTGCAGGGTCATCGTGTACATGAATTGCAATGGATAAGAGCAGAGTGATTCCAATGTTGTTGAAGAGGAAGAGATACTTACCGTTCTATAATTTCTGAGACTTGCCAATGAAAGTGAACTAGGATGAGTTTTGCCACAGAATGAGAGACCTGCAGAACAGAAGAAGTTAGAATGTTAGTAGAACACATACATAGACACGCCTTTGTTTTCATTTCTATTGCAGAGGTGGAGTCACTTTACGTTTGCTGCAATAACAATTAACTTTGGTGAGATACTGGCCAAGGGTTCTGCACAGCTACAGGAAAGCAGATGTCTTATACAGGTGAAACTTGAAAAATTAGAATATGGTGCAAAAGTTCATTTATTTCAGTGCAGCAACTTAAAAGGTGAAACGAATATATGAGATAGACTCATTACATGCAAAGCAAGATAGTTCAAGCCGTGATTTGTCATCATTGTGATGAATATGGCATTTGAAGCCCATGTCCGGGATCCGTCTGTGTGCGGTGGCTCTTGATGCACTGACTCCAGCCTCAGTCCACTCCTTGTGAAAGTCCCCAACACTTTTGAATGGTCTTTTCCTGACAATCCTCTCCAGGCTGCGGTCATCCCTGCTGCTTGTGCACCTTTTTCTTCCACACTTTTCCCTTCCACATAACTTTCTATTAATGTGCTTTGATACAGCACTTTGGGAACATCCAACTTCTTTTGCAATTACCTTTTGAGGCTTTCCCTCCTTATGGAGGATGTCAATGATGGTTTTCTGCACAACTGTCAGGTCAGCAGTCTTTCACATGATTGTGATTCCTACTGAACCAGACTGAGAGACCATTTAAAGGCTCAGGAACCCTTTGCAGGTGTTATGGCTTCATTAGCGGATTAGAGTGGGACACTTTGAGCCGAGAATATTCCACCTTTTCACAATATTCTCATTTTCAGAGATTATGGATTTGGGGTTTTCATGGGCTGTAAGCCATAATCATCACAATGATGACAAATCACGGCTTGAACTATCTTGCTTTGCATGTAATGAGTCTATCTCATATATTAGTTTCACCTTTTAAGTTGCTGCACTGAAATAAATGAACTTTTGCACGATATTCTAATTTTTCGAGTTTCACCTGTATTAGAACATGTCAGCCCCGTTGCCGATGCTGCCACCAATGTTCCAGCATGACCGATAAAAATAAATCTGCAGATCCGTGAAAAACGGCCGACGGGCTGGCCCCAATAACGGCGTGAAAATCGGCTGAGTTTTCGTGCAGACGGAAAATTGGCCTATAAACGACCCGTCTATGGCCTGCATAAGGCTACTTTCACATGGATCTGTACGCATAGGTGCTTTTGCAGGACATGTGACTCAACAAAAAAGAAAAAAAAAAAAAGAAAAATGCAGCAAGCAGGACCCGCAATGGATCAGTGTGGAGTTCCATAAGAATAAATGGTCATGTTTTTATTCTGTGTGGTTTTTTTTTTTTTTTTATTTAAACACAAAAAAGGGAAGAAAAATGGATCAATGTGAAAGCAGCCTAAGGCTAGGCTCACATCTATGCAGGCTGTGGATGATGCATTTTTGATGAGTTTTGGTTTTTATTATTTTTTGGCTAATAGGTGTGACAGTTCTGTTCATGTAGTGCTACTTTGATGCAAAGTTACAAGCAAAGTCCAGAATTTATAAGGAATGTCTGAGCTTTCAGAAAAAAGGGGGCAGAGAGCTGAAATTATGATCTTCAGAGCTTAGTGAGGAGAGCTCAGAGAGCTGATTGGAAGAACAGAGCTGAGGCTGTCAATCACAGGCTATGTATTTTTATATAGGGCGCGCATGTTAGAGCCCAACCTCTGTAGCTGTAGGATAAAGGTGCCAGATAGATATCAGGGATGGATGGATGGATGGATGGATGGATGGGAGCAGTAACACTGAGGCAGCTCTTCTTAGAGTGGAAGCAAGGCTCTAATGCAGTAAACATTGTTTTTTATGTCAATCACAGGCTGTAGGCTGGAGCTTCCTCCCCTGTCACCTTTTTTCTCTTGGTGTCAGGAAAGCTTGTCAGAATTGACTCATGCAGATAGAGGAAGGAGGCAGCGAACAAAAATGACACTTAGTGCTCTGGAATGAGACAAGTACACACTATAGAGTGGTATGCTTTGTTCTGAGATTTACAATAACTTTATGTATTTTCTTTGAAATACAACATGACTGTCACCCCTCCCTTCTAAAATATTGAACCTTCTATATCATTCATTTGAACAAGCCATCTCTAAAATTAGACTGGAATAAAAGTGGAAACTAAAGCTCCATTTTATGTCCTGCATTCTTGTTTTACGTAAACTATAAATGGAATTTCACTTTAAATTTCCATTTTGCTGATCAGCCGATACTGCACTGGGCAGCAAAAGCAGGAAGAGTAAAGGAAAATTCAATTCCTGAGGTTAAAAAATGGCAGCCACTTCAGGAACCCTGCCCAAGTAATCAATATGGATCCCAGGTTCTACGTGACCTCATAAAAGCTATCGAGTATTAGGTTCTCTGAGAGACGGTGTGTCTAGTTACAAGCGCAGGGTCACTGCCAGATAACTCCGGGCTGCAAATAAAGACAAGGAGAGGTCTGCGGGAAAACCACAAGAGTAGAGAGCCGGTGATACAGACGGTCAATGTTTACATGCCATGTATTGTGGAAAGCCTTGTGGCAAAACTGACAGCCCACCGCTCTCCGCCTGACCAGACCACCGCTCTCCGCCTGACCAGACCACCGCTCTCCGCCTGACCAGACCACCGCTCTCCGCCTGACCAGACCACCGCTCTCCGCCTCACAGACCACCGCTCACCACAGACCCCACCGCTCTCCGCCTCACAGCCCACCGCTCTCCGCCTCACAGCCCACCGCTCTCCGCCTCACAGCCCACCGCTCTCCGCCTCACAGCCCACCGCTCACCAGCCCACCGCTCTCCGCCTCACAGACCACCGCTCACCAGCCCACCGCTCTCCGCCTCACAGACCACCGCTCACCAGCCCACCGCTCTCCGCCTCACAGACCACCGCTCTCCGCCTCACAGACCACCGCTCTCCGCCTCACAGACCACCGCTCACCAGCCCACCGCTCTCCGCCTCACAGACCACCGCTCACCAGCCCACCGCTCTCCGCCTCACAGCCTCCCACCGCTCTCCGCCTCACAGCCCACCGCTCTCCGCCTCACAGCCCACCGCTCTCCGCCTCACAGCCCACCGCCTCTCTCCGCCTCACAGCCCACCGCTCTCCAACTCACAGCCCACCGCTCTCCAACTCACAGCCCCACCGCTCTCCAACTCACAGCCCACCGCTCTCCAACTCACAGCTCACCGCTCTCCAACTCACAGCTCACCGCTCTCCAACTCACCGCTATCTGCAGTACATCATTCCTTCTAGGATTAGTGTCAAAGATTTGTGAGTCAGCATACCAGGCAGATCACACTACCTGGAGGGCCTGCCCTACCCATTTAGAGCAGCCTTTACATTAACCCTTAGGAGGGGAATTTTAGCTTATAGTTTGCTTTCATGCAAAAAAAAATGCTAACTAAATGAATCTATAAGAGGATACAAAAACGAGATCCGCTTGTACTGCATTCTGCAGCTTTAGATCCCACCTGGATGCTTCAAATTAAAGTAGAAATCCAGTCTAAACCGAACTAGTCTTAACCACTCCAGATGATTTACCCCTTTCCTGACCAGGCCATTTTTTGCGATGCAGCGCTGCGTAACTGACAATTGCGTGGTCATGCAACACTGCACCCAAATGAAATGTATGTCCTTTTTTTCCCCCACAAATGGAGCTCTCTTTCGATGGTACGCCTATGCGGTTTTTAGTTTTTGCACTATAAACAAAAAAAGACCGACAATTTTGAGAAAAAAATATTTTTGACTTCTTAAACATGTCCAGTAATTTTTTTTTTTGTAAACACAAATTTTGTCATAAATTTAGGTCAAAATGTCTTTGATATAAAAAAAAATCCTAATACATGTAAATTTATTGGTTTCCGTGAAAGTTATAGCATCTCCAAATGGAGGATTTTTTTTTCTCTTTATACTAGTATTGGTGGCTATCAGCGACTTGTAGCGGGACTGCGGCGGGCATTCTGACACTGGGGGGAGCTGACGGTCACTGACATCCCCAGTGACACTAATATAATGATCAGTGCGAATAAAAAGCACTGACACTGTACTAATGGCACTGGGTAGGAAGGGGCAACCAAAGGGTTAACTGTGTGTTTTACTGTGTGCCTTTCACTGTGCCAGCTTTGTGCTGCTCTGTTATGCAGAGTAATACAAAGCAATGTGCAGGAGCTGATAGGGGAGAGATCTGTATCGTTTACATACAGGTCTCTCCCCCATCAGTGATACTCGGTAATCGCAGGGTGCCGACGGGGTATCGCCTGCCAGGACCCGGTGATCCACAGCTGAGGCCGCCAATGGCGGCGTGAGTAGGGCGCACGCGCCCCTACCTGGAAATGCAAAATCATACACACACACACACACATATACATACACACACATACATACACACACACATATACATACACACACACACACACACACACACACATACACACACACACACATATACATACACACACACATATACATACACACACACATATACATACACACATATACATACACACATATACATACACACACACACATATATACATACACATATATACACATACACACACACATATATATATACATACACACATATATACATACACATATATACACACACACACACACACACACACACACACACACACACATATATATATACATACACACACATATATATACATACATATACATACACATACACACACACACACATATACACACACACACACACATATACACACACATACACACACATGTACGTGATTTTGAGCAGCCCTGCTGTCCTGTAGCAGTATTTCTGCTATAGGGCGGTTAAAATTGTTCCCTCCCTTTACACCTATGCTGACTAACCTGTTCAAAAAATATATACTTACCTATTTTTAGTCCGGTCCAGTCCTGGGACCTGGCACCGTGCATGCTCTTTAACGAATAAGTGCACCTTTGGGAACATGTTACATGTTCCGCCCATTTTTAGGGTGGACAGAAGTTCCCTGTACTGTCAGATT